CGTATGCTCGTTTGGTCTGATTTTAAGCGAGGCATGCGGACCAGATAGAAGAGATCGAGGCAAATCTCAAACTATAATAGTACCGCTTCAAAGTTGTCAGAAAGATATCACCGGCCACACATCTTCATGGTGCATCACAGGAATAGACACTGAAATCGAACTTATACTCGCCAGAGTAAAACCAGACTTTAACGACTTGAGTAAACTTACAATCTGCCCATTTCATCGGGATTCACTTGGAGTTGGGTGGCGCAGAAACTCGGAGCGATGCGCGGTGCCGCAAGAGCTGTCAAAGCACAAGCAGCAAAAAGGTTTAAAATGGCCAAGAGCCGAGAGAGGTATAGGTAGAAGCAACTCGCTAGTCTTACTCAAAAGAACCGGCATATTTTTACCAGTTGGAACAGGTAAGAGATATATTATTAGCGATAGCTTTTGTTGAATAGTTTTGAAAAGGTATAATGACAAGTTACCGAAACTGATTATTTTAGACGTCGATATTTAAAGATGCTATCTCAGTCATTGTTTATTTCTGTAGGCGTTTTATATTCTAAGATGTTACTATTTTTTGGCTGTTTCAATCATGCAATAGAAAGATAATCTAAGATTATACTATAACATGCTTTCGCTTTTCATTGACAGGTGTATGCCGCAATTGTAGAAGTCTACTGAATTCGCTGGCTGAGAACGTCGAAGAAAATAAGTATTCAAAAGATATCGAAGACTCCGTTGCTAATTTGTCTTTGGTAAGTGACAAATCTTGAATTGAATCTCTCAAAACTGCCTCAAACTACTGAAAGTATTTGGACGACTAGAAGTTTCGTAGTTGGTTACTGAGTTAAGCCTGGTTTCCATATAATCGTTACAATCGCTAGGATCGCTCAATATTATCAGCGATTCTGGCGATCGTCTGTTTCCATATGATTGCTACGATCGCTGGAATCGCCGACGATCGCTCAAAGATTCAACGAAAGACTGGACCCGACAACAAGCATTTTGGCGCCAAATGCGAATTCGATTGAGATGGATTTGGAAATTTTTGCTTGTAATTTCGCATTTCTTGCGCTGCTTAGACGAAGAAATTGTAGAGCCAGATCAAAGCCAAGGACACATAGATTTTGGGTTAGGGACATATATAAAAAAGAGAACAATTAGGGGTATACCACACTTTAGTGCAAGAATTGCAATTTTACGACAGAGAATATTTTTTTAGGTAAGTTTTAATGTAGTTGAAAATTCATGTTATAAGATTATTTTTTTCTAAGTTTTGAAACGTATATTAATAGCTAAACTGTATATATTTTGCAAAGTTATATGATATGAAAGTATTAAAACATGAAAATATAAATTTGATATTAATACATGAGTGGAATGTGGTAAAGAAGAAGGGCAAATGCCTGGAAAAGATCTAATAAAAAGTATTAATCAAGTTACAAGTTGTGTGGCTTTTTTTTCAATTCATTCTTATGAGACAAGTAATATTACATGTGTATCCATTGCTTTAAATATATAATATCTGTCAAAATGCTTAAAAAAATTACTTGTAAACACTTCAATTCTGCTTATTTTCTAAAAAAAAGGTATACAAGAATGTCTCCTGAGAGGTTTCAGCATCTTCTCACTCTTGTTGGCCCTTTAATCATTAAAAAGCCATGCAGATTTCGCAAGCCAATTTCACCAGGAGAGAGACTGATGGTGACTCTGCGATATCTTGCAGCTGGAGAGTCACAACAATCACTGTCTTTTTACTTTCGTTTGGGCAAAACAACTGTATCAAATATTCTGAGAGAGACATGTGAATCAATTTGGCAAGCCTTGAATCAAGATTATCTGAAATCCCCCTCTTCAACTGAAGATTGGATAAATATTGCAGAGGAATTTGAAGATGAGTGGAATTTCCCTCATTGCATAGGGGCACTTGATGGGAAACACATAATGATGGAGTGCCCTCAAAATGGAGGATCTTTGTATTATAATTACAAAAACTTTCATAGCATTGTGTTACTGGCAGTTTGTGATGCAAACTATTGTTTCTCTTTCATTGACATTGGTGCATATGGAGGTAACAATGATGCTTCTGTTTTATCAGACTCTGATTTTGGGAAAAGCTTTGATGAAACTCCAACCCTATTAAATATACCAGCCCCTGCTCCACATGGAAGGAGAACCCTACCATATGTATTGCTAGGGGATGACATTTTTCCACTCAAGCCTTGGCTAATGAAACCCTATCCAGGGAAAAAGCTCACTGAGCAACAGAGAATTTATAATTATAGGCTTTCAAGAGGAAGACGCACTATTGAAAATGCCTTTGGCATTCTCTCTGCCAAGTGGAGGATTTTCAGAAGGCCAATTAAAGCCAATGTAGATTTGGTTGAACTGATTGTCCAGTCCACAGTCTGCCTTCACAATTATCTACGACTAACTGAAAATGCCAGCTATACACCTGAAGGGTTCATTGACTGTGAAAGCAGCAATGGAGAGGTAGATCCTGGTGATTGGAGGAAGGAAGCAGTTGATGATGGGGGTATGAGGGTTTTAAATAGAATTTGTGGTAACAGGTTTGTATATATGAGTTAATATAAGCCTCACACAAAACAAAACTTTTATAATCATGCTGAGATGTCATCAGCTCCTTACTGTATTGGTTGATTACCTCTCTTTGCTTGCCTTTTAGATATGGCTTTGAAGCTCGTTGTGTGAGGGATGATTTTAAAGAGTACTTCAATGCAGAAGGTCAAGTACCTTGGCAGTTAGAATATGTTAGGAACTGTGGACACCTAGCCACACAGGGATTTGATGTGTAGAAGTAGTGCGATCAACAGTACTTATAACTAATGGAATTTTACAAACTCAAAGTAAATATCAATCATGTTTCAGTGTGTACAATTCCATGGAAAATGTCAATCAAATCCTTAAATATGATATGTGAAGGCATTTATAGACATCTAGTTAGTAGTAAAATGACAGTTTAGCATTCTCAAGCAACAATTATTATATCAATTGTTGTAATGCTTATTTACAATTGGCAACAAATGTGTGGACCCTTATCAATAACAATGTAAACATTCTCATACACTAACTTTAAACACCATTAAAAACCCTTACCTTAAAAGACCTGGAACAAATATGATTTCTAATAATTTATGGCTTGTTATTCAACCAATTATTAGAATTAGTTTGTAAAAGAATGTACAACTAAAAAATAGATTCACCAAAGGTTTCCTTTTGTTCAGTTTATTATAATAGCTATAACATGTAACATAACAACAATAAATAAGCTTTTGTGTCTGGCTTGATAATGTAATGTTTAACTTTTGTAACAATTAGAAACAACTTTTTTTTAACAGTACTTTTCATTTAAAAATAGTACAAAATATTAGCATATATTGTAATTAGTTCTAGATTGCTTTACATATGAAGTGCATTTACTCTATATGTATTTTCAAAACACTTAAATAGGAAATGGCACAATTTGTGAAATGAACTGTTCATTCTCAATACTGATAACCCATGTCATACTCACTTTGTGACATTGGGTATTGGCTTTGAGTTATGCTTTGAGGCATTTGAAACTGCCCAGAAGAAGGGGAGGGATGAGGAAACTCTGCCTGAAAAAAGATTTGCTCCATTTGCATTCTTAGTAATGCTTTTGATCTTGGTGAAAGTTTCCCCATCCTTGGAATGAGACTCTTCAAAAACAGGCTATCTTCAGATTCTGCAATATCTTCTGTGTGGTTTGCTTTTTGTGATTCTGAACTTTTTTGCAAATGCTGAGTTAAAGTGGTAGCTGTTTGAAGCAAAGCTTTGTCTATTTCATTGTCATTCTTTTTCTTACCAGCCCATGGTCTTGTAGATTTTCCTTTTCTGGCCTTTGATTTTGGAAGAGATGTTGGAGTGTTATCTGATGTGCTTGAAAGTGGGGTACTTGAATTATCACCCTCTAACATGGCCTGCTGGTTCAATATATCATTTTCATCGCTTTTGTCACCCTCATTTCCACTTTCAGAGTCACTTTCATCCAATTTTGTTGATGTATCTGTACCTAGGATTTTGAAGCATCTAGATGTAAGTTACAATTGTTTGATTTTTATTATTTTTGTTTACGTATCCTAAATGTATTTTTTATATAAACTTCAAATACCAGGGAATCTCTAGAGCCAAAAAATGATACCCTTCATATGAAGAAATGTCTGTATACAGAACTTTCAAAAGCATAATAAACAATAGCTAATATTTCAAGCTTTACTATTTACTATAGACAAACCTGGGTCATAGTTGCTAACAGTAGTTGCTCTTTCAAACATATGCGTCTTTAACCAGTCCAGGTTCATAAATTCGCGTGGAACTGGAGAACGTCCCGTGCCTGAAGGTTTCTTTCTCACTCTTTTTACATATCTTCCATAACTTGTTCGTATGTTTTTGAATTTTTTCTCTGCCTCCGCTGGAGTTAAATTAAATTTACGTGCTATTTTTTCCCAAGCATTCAGTTTAGCATGTTTGTTTTTATAATCTTTAGCAGCTTTGTTGTAAAGGCACGTGTACAGTTGAACTTCCTCCATGAATTCACAATTATTCACCACATCAGAGTTATTAGCTCTAACTTCGTTTTCCTTCTCCTGGTAGTCCGCCATGTTGAATATTTGATGCTTGCACTGCATAGTGGGATACATTCCGATCGCTAGGATCGCTGGACAGTGTTTCCACATAATCGCTACGATCGTCAGGATCGCCGAGATAGAAACTGAGCGATTCCAGCGATCGAGATCGCTACGATCGCCAGGATCGCTGGAGTGTGTTTCCATAAGATCGCTACGATCGTTGAGCCATATTTTCGGCGATCGTGGCGATCCTAGCGATTGTAACGATTATATGGAAACCAGGCTTTAGGCTAGTATATCCCCCAAAATGCATGTGCTCACGCTGGTTTATTCGTTATTTTGACAACAGTTTATAATTTTTTCAAATTTTTCAAGCAAGAAAAAAAAACATACTAATTAAGGCGTACTGTCTAACAATATTATACAGTTTATC